ACTGTGGTGACATCTGATGGTTATGCTTTCTCCAATGTATCCTGTAATCATCTGATGATCCACATAGAGACTGGGGGTCCCTTAAAGTTCACAAAAAATACAATCAATACAAAAACCCTTCAAAATTCATTGAAATTCAGACTTAAGACATCTTTTCTTATTGATGTTTAACAACAAATGAGAGCACATTCAGTCTCTTTTAGTAAAAATAAAAACATATTTGTTGTTTTTTTGTTAGAAATTGTGACAAGAAATCCTGGAAACAATGTAAAATATGTACAACGATGTGCACTTACCACTGGTAACTGACAGTTTAAAATATTTTTGATAATCTGCTCCATTATTAATCTCCACCACACACCAGTAGTCAGTGTTTTCATAGGCCAGCTGGTTTATAGTCACAGTGAAAATTTGCTGGTTTTTGTCATCAGAGATTGAATATTTTCCTGAAGGGTCTGCTGTGTTTGTTTTTACTACATCACTGCAGGAGTTCCAATAATATCCTTCACACAAGTACTTCACATGGTATTTGTATTGGGACTCATAGAGACATGGGATGGAGATAGATTTCCCAGTTTTCACTGAGACTTTACTGACTGTAGTTATACTGTGAACTCCTGCAGAGAACAAATAAAGTATTATATTATTTCGTTTGCTTAAAAGGTTTTTTCTTTTTGGCTTATATTTTGTACATGAACAGAACAAATAAAGCACTTTAGTGGAATAATTCCATTGATCAGCTAAAATAAAAACAATTACAAGGCTATTACAAATATATTTTTGTTATTGGAACTTTTATAATCAGCATAAAAATTAATAAACAAGCTAAAGGACTTTAAAAGCCTCCCCCTCATACCTGTTAGTCCAGTCAACATATAAATAATCCTGGCATAGAGAGCCATATCGATAAATGAACAGAAAAAACAGTGTAAGCTCCACTTCCTTTTTTTCATCCTTATATGCAGCTGTCACTTCAGTTTCTGTTATTCTTCCTCATATGTAAATCAGTAATTTTACATAAGTTGGCTCACAAAATAAAGAGTGTATGTAGTAAATAGTAATACATCCAACATCTGTCAAGCTGGTGGCTTTTCAAAACCCATCATTCTTACCAACATATAGAAAATTGAAAAAGAAAATAGAACAGAGAAAACTAAAATATAAAAATGTAGTCAAAACAGGAAAGTGAAAGGGTTTCATGGTGCAAATTTAATACTGTTCTACATTGTGCAAGGTCATCTTCTCTGAGCGGGTGTCAGTTCTTTGGTAACGTGAGTGACATTTCTGTGGTTTCTGACAACTTTTCCTGTTACTCTGACTCAGTGTCTGGTAAAGCCACAATGTGCTTCTCAGTGTCAAAATTTAAACCAAACAGTGCAGATGTCATTAAAGTGCACATTCTGAACTTTAATTCATAATCATTAACATACATTTTAGTTCCACCATATATCAATTACAACACTTGCCACCTCATTTTAGGGCACAACAGTGCTTGGGACAAAGTAATGGTAGGTACATGAATGCAGTCATGTTTAATACTTTGTTGCATATCCCTTGCATGCAGTGCCAGCTGTCATAGATGTCATAGATGATAGATAGACATCAAGTCTATCTATCAGGTGACTAACCTTTTGGGGCTTGAGAAAATTTTGTGTTGCCTTAGCAGTAAGTTATCTTGTTGCAGGATGAAGAGTTATTCAATGAGTTTGCAGGCATTTACTGGAACATGAGCAGATGTTTCCATCTTCCATTCTGCAACTTCCATCAGCCATCAGCAGTTACATCATCAATGAAGATAAGTTAGTTAATACCTGTAGCAGCCATATATGCCAAAGCCATAAAATACTAAACTATAATGTTACGGGCCCCAGGAATGGTGCCACAATAACAAAGATGAAATCCCTGCTTGCTTAAGCGATTAAATGCCACTGTAAGTTTACAGTGAATTTACAGCAATATTCAACTGTATTTAAGGCAAACCACACTCTTATCTGGTTGAAATTAAAGTGGATAACTGTACCTGTTCTGAATACTGAAACTGATCAAAAATAAACATCTTTTACAGCACACTGAACATGAAACTTACTTCTCTATACCGTGTGCAACTTCCATCTATTTCACAACTCATTAGGAGTCACATATTAAACAGCTTCATACTTTTGCAAAAACCTCAATTATACTTAAGGAATAAAACATGTTTGTATCAAAAACTTTATATAAAATAGTGTGCGGGAGTGCCAACCTTCATAATGAAAAGAAAACAAATCTATACGCATGACCTTCCTGCAAGACAATGCTCTGGGCGTAAACGACCCACAATACCAGGCCGTTTCTGGTAGCGGCCTGCGCAGCCTGACCCCGCTGTCTCAGACTGATGGAGGTCCACGCGGGGCTGCTCGTAACTGTTACAAATACAGTCATACTTCTTTACAACTTAGCATGGAGATGAAACCTTGCTACGTAACAGATGGTGGTAGCATTTTTTTTTTATACCAAGTACTAACCTGCAGATACAGGTGAAGTTCAGGAGCAATGAAGACACGGTGCACTCGGTTTGCCTTCCAGATTGAATCTGGCGGAAGTCCATCCCCCTAAAGCAACTGGGGCGCACCTGCCTTTAAATAATACTTCCACCTGAGGTGTTGCTCCATTTTTCTGTCCTTCTGTACAGTCCATGTGATAAAATAAATAATAAATAATAACATTTTGGGTGTGCCACAATAGGAGGAAATATAACTTTTGGTGAAGCCTATGGACTCTAGAATTCAGGCAGTCCTTGACCGCAAACGTTTTTCATCCAAGTAAGAAAAACAGTCCTGACATCTAAAATTATGTTAGTTTGAATTAGTTTGAGCCTGTGAAAATGGGGGACTATGTATACAACAGCCGTAATTCCTAAACAGTTAATGCAAACGTTTTTATTAAACCCTTTAAATTACAGCTGAAACTACACGTGAATCTCACATTGACCGTTTGATTTTTATGTATTTGTGTACTGAAGTAAAATAACAAAAATGAAGTCATTGTCCAAATACTTATGGTGCTAACTCTATACCAGCGATAGCAATGGCTGTAGAGTTATTACCAAATAATGGGAAATAAACTGCTGTAACTTACAACAGTGGCATCACACCCCTCAGATCTGGTGTTCTCTGAAACATATAACAAGATTGTCAAAATACAAATACAGTATTTTATCCCAGAATCTAATTAGAAAACCTACTCACTACGCATTTTCAACCTCCGTATGAATAATGTTACAGGAACTATCTGTAGCTGTAGGATGAGGACAGAGGTGAGAATGGTCATCTTAGTGGAATTGGAAGATAAAGCCAGATGAGGATAAAACTGACATGCTTTTTTCAAACAGAAACCAATTCTAAAACTGAACAAGATGAATACTTTTCATGAGCAAATTTGATCTTTAGTTTTACTTTAGTTTTGTTCTGTTTTGTCTAATACTGAGAATATGCAAATTATTAAAAGTGATAGACCTCTTGTATCCATCCTCCAGGCTGGAAGCTGATACTGGAAGCATGGAGGATGGATACAAGAGGATGATTTGTATGATTGAAGTTGTTGGCTGGGCTGTATTTGGTTCAGTGTTTGTAAGCGAGGAGGAATGCTGGCGAGTGGTTGAAAATGTCCTTGTGAATTCTATTAATGTAAAAAAAAAAAAAAGCACCCAAAAACAAAAACAGAACTCGTGATAATTAGTACTGTGTATATTATTGGTAAATATTGGACGATATCTTCTGTAATATAAAATTTTAACTTTAACTACTATGCAAGGATATTATATATTATTTGGAGGCCAGCTGGAGACTATGCATCTAAAACAATAAAGTATTTTCAAAATTATCACAAGGGTTGTCAATGCCCTGGTTTTTTTGTAGGTTTCATCTCTGCAGTAACAGCACTGTAGTGCCACCAATCTGTCCGAGATGCAAATCCATTTATGCATTCCTTGAATCAAAGAATGGATAAATTACACCCATTTATACCTGTCGCATAATTTAAAAAAAAATTCTTTCAAACTTACCAAATTATTCACAGGTTATTTTTTTAAGGGGCTTATGTGAAGGCAGATGAAAATCAGTCACTTGGATTTTTTGAATTTTGAAAGTGATCATCAGCAGTGTGGTAAAATGGTTTTGACCTCTGGGGGGCGCTGTTTACAGCCATTCTTTTCACATCATAAGACCAAGTTGCATTGCTCAAGTGTCCCACCACTGCCTGAAGCTTAATTTCTGTCATTTGTTAAACCTTTGTAGTGCCATTTTTATGATAATTCGCTAACTTATGAAAACAGAAAGGGTATCTTAGTATCTTACTTGTATTGGTCCGCAGTGCAGTCTTACCGGTTGAAGTAACTTCATGAACAATTATGTGCACTGGCATCTGTAAGTCTCCAATAGCACACCAATACCAACCGCTGCTCTCTGATCTCAGATCGCTCATGGTTACAGTGAAAAGATTAGGGACACTCGCATTTATTTTCACAGCTGTTCCACCTATTGATCCGTCTTGATTGGTTACATCACTTTTACAATTCAGAATCATGGCCGAGCAGTAAAATATTAAACACAATACTAAAAGCTATTGATTAACCACCAGTGACTCATCTCTTCAAGTTAATTATTTAGCAGCTCGAGGCTTCTCTTACTTACCCAGCAATCTAGTGAGCAATCGGTGATAAATATATAGAAGAACCATGTTGGCACAGCTGCTGTGAGTGAGTGACCCCTTTCACTATCACAGGGAAAATTTCAACCTGGATTGCTTCCTCATTTTATTTATATTTTTGACAATGTTTCTGTTTTCAGGGCTTTTACAGTTACCAACAATTCACCCAAAACTATCAAAAGTATATTTCATAATTTGCTTAATTTACTTTAAAAAAAATCTAATAATATTTTATTATTTATAACAATGCAATGAGACAAATGAATAGATAATGATTTTAATGACGATTACCATTTGAGAGCTATTGGATCAAACCTGTTTTGATAGTTACAATAACCCACAACTACATCTATTGGAATTTATCTAAATATATTTATTTCTGCAATGTTTTAGTAGATAATTTGTGTTGTTTCACTATATATGTTTATTTTTATGTCAGTCATTAGAAGAATAGGTGGACTTATATTCACCCATGGTCCCTTACTGAGTTCTGTAGTTCTATTTACTGGAGCACTTTGTAGACTGCCATGCAATAACTGTCCTCAGCAATCAGATCTTAACAATCTTGGGTACATCTGCCCTCATAAAGAGACTATAGTAACTCTAACAAGTTCTTCAGCATTATTAAAGCCAAACAGCTTCTTTACTTGCCACTGTTGCATGAACTGTACTCTTCATTCAGAAGTAGTGAAGGCAGAGGGGTTTAAATACCTGGGGTCAACCATCAAAATGAACAGACAGCACACTAGTGGGTGAGGATGAGTGTCAGGAGTATTTTGTGACTTAGGTCTAGCAGTAAGAGTGAAAGAAAAGGTTTACAAACCAATAGTCAGACTGCAAATTATGGTTTGGAGACAGTGGTGCCGATAAAAAGAAACTAGATGGATCTGGAGGACGCTGAGCTGAAGATTCTAAGATTTTCATTTGAATGTCTTGATGTCATTCAGGTAAGAAAACCTAAAAAGTTGATTCTGTTCGTGTGGAAGTAGCATTTCAAGTGGGAGAAACGTTTTTTCACTTATCCAATTGACTTTTTCAGTCTCAGGTGACCGCTGGTTTCCCCAACCTTATAAACAGTAGATTTGCATAATGACTGACGAAACGATGTGCTACTTCAGCTGAAACTGAAGTACTCATTCGGATGAGTGACGAAAACGTTTCTCCCACAGAACACAATTTACTTTTTGGGATTTTCATTTGGAGTAATCAGGAAATGAAGGCAGATGATCCGATGTGATGGTCACTAAAGGGAGAAGGCGAAAAAGGAAGACTGCAGCTTTTAGAATATTTCAACATTACACTCTTAATATATTGCATTTTCCATATTTTGCAAGTGTCTCTAACTATCACCAAATGCCCTTCCGCCCTTAATATATTATGGATGCCCTTGTATACAGCCCCACGGTGTTTCTTGTAACTTATACATTGTGTATATAGTGTTTTTATATTGTTGTTTTGAATCTGGTCACTTTCTTGCACCTTTGTGGTCTTGGTAGCTAATTTCGATGTGCAGGCAACTGTAGAATGACATAAGTTCTGGTTTTCTTCAGTGATGACGACATTACCAAGGGACTTCTTCGTCGACTGTTGATGACGTATTTATGTAACCCTCGAAATGCAAAGCGATCGATGTGTATTTTGGCGGTCCGTTCAAGTCCACCGAACTTTCAGTTCTGATTACAGCTGTGAATTAACAGCCCCGCCAAGAAGCGGACACATATCTTAGCACCACCGACAGATTTTCATCGTTAATAATGGAGTACGGGAAGGAGAGGGTGGTGGCGTTGGTAGACATGGACTGCTTTTACGTGCAGGTGGAGCAGAGGCTGAATCCAGCTCTGAGGAATACTCCCTGTGTGGTGGCCCAGTACAAGACGTGGAAAGGAGGCAGGTGAGTTTCTGACACAGAGATACCGTTTTTGTGATCGACGCAATTGAAACACCTAGCCGTGACACAAAACCTGGGTCTGTGGGTGACTTAGGTTCCTAAAGCTAAAGTTACGAAAGTTTTTTTTCTGGTGTGCCTTACGTACATCCTGATCGTATTCGTGTAAATAGAGTTAAAAGGTTGATGAAAAAGCCAAAGGTTGCTCTAGTGGACTGATATCTGGTGACTGTGGAGGTCATTCGAGTGCAGTGAACTCACTGGCATGTTCAAGGAACCAGTTTGAGATGATTTGAGGTTTGTGACGTGGTATCCTGCTGGAAGCACTCATCAGAACATGGTTATACTGTAGTCATAAAGGGATGGACATGGTAGGCCGTGCTGTTTAAACGATGCTCAGTTTGTACTAAGGGGCACAAACTCTGCTAAAAAAATATCCCCCACAACATTACACCACCACCACCAACCTGAATCTGAACACATCAGACCAGGCAACACTGTCCTATTAGTCATCTCTTGTCTAATTTTGGTGAGCCCATGTGAACTGTAGCTTTAGTTTCCTGTTTTTTAGCTGACAGAAGTGGCACCTGCTGTGGTCTTACGTGGCCGTAGCCCATCTGCTTCAAGGTTCATCGTTTTTTGTGTTTAAAAATGTTGTGTTTTTTTTTGCATAACTTAGTTGAGTGGTTATTTGAATTTGAGTTCCTGTTGCCTTCCTATCAGCGTGAAGCCATTTTCTTTGACCTCTTAGTTGCACAAGGCACTTTCACCCAGAAAACTGCAGCTTTATTTTCTCTTTTTTCAGACCATTCTATGTAAACCATATAGTTGGTGTTAGGGGAGAAAATGCCAGTAGAGCAGCAGATTTTGAAATAATGAAATACTCTGTAAAACAGAATGTTGACTAGATTACAGAGAATTTAAACATTCCCCTCTCTCTTTGTAACCCACTGGTGAATTCGTTCCCACGACTGCGTGTGTTCAGTTGCATTGACCATTTGAATTGATGTCTCTGTGTTGGCAACTCACCCGCCCTCATGTCCCACAAATAACCGCTTAGACATCCTTCTAAAATGTTTTCACACTTTATGATTTTTTTTTTGTGATCTTTGACTAAATGTTATTGTTTCTTAGTATTATAGCTGTGAGCTACGAGGCCAGGGCTCATGGTGTCACCAGGAACATGTGGGTGGATGATGCAAAAAAACTGTGCCCAGACCTCCAGGTGGCACGAGTGCGTGAGTCTCATGGCAAGGCTGACTTGACAAAGTAAGTGCTGCTGCTGATGTACATCCCCAGAGACTTCCTCTTTTTAATTGGATCAACATTAAATCTTTGGATCAACACTCGATCAACATTGTCTTTAATTAAATTTACGATTATTTTTTGAATTGTCTTAAATCCTTATGGCCAAAGCTGTACTGCAAATATCTTCTTTCTGTCCCCTTTGTAGTTACAGAGAGGCGAGTGTGGAGGTGATTGAGGTCATGTCTCGCTTTGCTGTGATTGAGAGAGCTAGCATTGATGAGGCCTACATGGATTTGACTGCTGCTGTCCAGCAGCGACTGAAAAATATGACTGACAAACAAATCGAAACTTCACTCTTGAGAACTACCTACATCCAGGGGTACCCGCAAAGTTCACCTGCAGCTGAAGACTCTGCAGAGGACACTGTGTTGGATAAAGGTAGGCTGTAAGCTAACTTCAGTTACCCAATGAGTTGTTTCTGCAGTTGACACAGAAAGCTGTCGAAGAATAACAGCTAAAAAACTCTGGCAGGCTTTATCCTCCTAACAACATCATGTTTGTGCTCAGAGGAACAGCGATCCAGAGGTCTCCAGCAGTGGCTGGAATCTTTAACGTTCCCGTCAGTGGGTGAGCAGAACTCTGCAGAACTGCAGCTAACTGTTGGAGCACTGATTGTTGAGGAAATGAGAGCAGCTGTGGAGAAACACACAGGTTTCAGTTGTTCTGCAGGAATATCACACAATAAGGTAGGATAAACTCCTATTTAATAGTCTAAGACCGGTAACTGTGTTTGCAGAGATAATCATTTACCGCTCACCTTTCCAAGGTATTGGCTAAACTAGCCTGTGGTCTGAACAAGCCCAACAGACAAACTGTTCTTCCTCTGGACTCTGTGACAGAACTTTTCAGCAGTCTCCCCATTGGCAAGATGTAAGTTTAGTTATGTCATCGCTTACATTGACAGAGTGGCAGCAAAAACTTAAAATTAAACCCTGTCCTCTTGTATTATTTATTTCCCTGCAGCCGTAACCTGGGGGGTAAGCTGGGAACTTCAATCACAGAAACTCTGGGAATAGAGAACATGGGCGATCTCACTCGCTTCTCTAAGGCTCAGTTGGAGCAGCACTTTGGAGAAAAAACAGGGTGAGAGAGCCAGAAATGCCTTCAAACACTATCATTTTGATAATGGTGACATAACTTGCTTAAGAAAGTAATCACATGGTGTTATTAAAATAATAACAAGTAGTTTTGCACTTTTAAACTTCCTTAAACATTTCTGAACTTCTGTACTTGAACTTCTGCTTCAGAAAAGAAACTTTGTAATTTTGGAAACCCTTCTGCACTACAGGGACGTTAAACTTTATCCTGCTTCCTTGTTTAATGTAGTCAGTGGCTGTACGACTTGTGCCGGGGGATTGATTTTGAAGCTGTGAAACCAAGACAGCTTCCAAAGTCCATTGGCTGCAGTAAAAACTTTCCTGGGAAGACATCACTGGCTACTAAAGAGCAGGTAGAGCCAATGTTTCTGTGCTCTTTCAGTGTGTTCCACAAGCATTTTTAAAGTATTTGTATTTGTGCAGGTACAGTACTGGCTTCATCAACTGGCTCTTGAGTTAGAGGAGAGGCTGACCAAGGACAGAGAAGTGGTAAGACACAATACTTGGTTGTGTAATTTAGTTCTTTTCCCTCATTAAACCATCTTTTCTTCAGTTGGGTTTCACATTAGTGCCAAATCCCGTAAATGCAACTATTTTCAGCTCAGTTCCTTTAATTTCTTATAGAACGGTCGTGTGGCTAAAATGCTGACAGTTGGTGTGCGTCAGCTTGGCGACAAGAGGATGAGCAGCTTCTCTAGATGTTGTGCTTTAGTGCGCTACGAGGCGACCAAAATATCCAGCGACACCTTTGCCATTATCAAGAGTCTGAACACAGCAGGAAACCATCAGGCTGCATGGTAATTAGAACAGGATACTGCAGAGGGTTTAAAGTAATTTGCCAAAGGGATGTTCTGTGATTTTTATTTATTTATTTATTTTAATTTTTTAATTTAAACTGTCTTCCATCATGTCCCCAGGACTCCACCCCTCAGCATGTTATACCTCTCAGCTAGTAAATTCAGCGATGTTTCATCAGCGGGGGGGATCGCTGGCTTTCTTTCCAGTGATAGCACTTCAACGCAGCCACCCCGTGAACCAAAAAATGTCTCCCCGTGTAAACAAACCGGCTCCATCCAGTCCTTTTTTCAAAAGGCAGTTGAGAAACAAAAACAGAAGGTTAGAAAGGAGGAGGAGGATGATGATGATGAAGAGGATTCTGGTACACACAGCAATGAAGGTCTCCCAGCTTCCTCGCTTCACAATACTTCTGTTTCTGTTAGTCAGTTGAAGTCAGACGCTGTCTGTCCTGCTTCCTCTTTTACACCTGTTTCTCAGTCCAAAATTGGTTCATCCAGCCCCCACCCAGGCATTTCCTCTTTCTTTCAGAAGAAGACCATTGAAAAAAGCCTCCAGGTTTCAGGGTCAGCACTGAACAAGCCTGAAAACGGACAAATGCCAGGTCCCGTTGATGAGGAAGACACCAAAGACATTGTTGTTGTGGCATCAGGCTTGGAGTCAAAACTTAGCTCAGAGAATGCATCTCATGAGTCGGCAAGTGAGGAGTTAAGGAATGAACTGGACATTAATGTGGAGTCAAATCACCCTCCTCCCACTGTGGCCAGTGAAGATCTGATGAGCTGTGAACGCTGTGGTCAGGAGGTGTTAGCGTGGGAAATGCCAGAACACAATGACTATCATTTTGCTCTGGACCTCCAGCAGTCCTTCTCTTCAGGCACATCAACCATCACTTCCTCTTCTTCTTCCGGTACCGCTATGAATCCTCTCAGAGCAGCAGCAGCAGACACAGCCCACTCCTCTCGGGGAAAGACTAAAACAAGAGGCCAGTCGGGACCAGCACCAAAAAGACCCCGCTCCCAAAGTGCAAGCACAGGCACTCTGGATTCATTCTTCAAGAAAAACTGAAGATCTAATGCAGAACCGCAGTTTTAAATTAAACTCAAACGTAGTTCTGATTATGTACATTTTTAAAAATGTTTGTTTACAAAGCCATATCCTAAACAGTACATTAAGACTTTTCTGCTTTCAATGTTGAAGTTGGGTGATGATAACAATGTGTATAAAAAAAAATAATCAAAAAATCATATTTATTTGATTTATTTAATTTACTTTTTAATGATAAATAAAAAGACAATATTATTAAGAGACATTTTTTTAAAGCAGAGTGTATTAAAGATTCTTTTTACTCATCCTAGTAACATGCAGTATGCTGTAGTACTTTGACTTACCAGCAGATGGCACTAGTTAGTTGAATGTAGAGCAGAAATCCTCACTCGATCAACAGTATGAAGTGTTCTAGTAAGAAAGAGAGAGGGGCACATGATTGTGATTTGTAAGACAAGAAGGTAGTATTTGAAATACTCTTGGTGTCAATGAGTTTTCCAAACACAACTAAGTACATTTACATAGAAGACTCAGATTCACATAGGAAACCACACACCCTTGTGAGCAAGCCTTTTAGGTTTCTATAAGAACAAATGTGACAAAAGTAGCCCTGAACTTGTCATCCTTTATCACAAGGATATTGCTAACTTCACAAATGTAAATTTATATTGCCATAGCCGAGCTCACAGCCTACAGCATGGACTGGTACAAGATGAGCTGATAACTCATAAAATAATGTAGCGGAGGGCAGATTGAAATGTTATAAAAGATCAATCAGGTCAATAATGTAGCAGCTCCTCTGGCTCAAAATCCATAACAATTCACAGGTTATTGCCTGTGAAATGACACATCTGACCCTGACCCGGAGCAGAATTTGGTTGAAGATCTATTAGATGATTATTGTGTCTGAGTTTTGTAAAATCTGAACAATAGCCTCAGAGGAAGGATTATTGTTCAGTATGGACAGATGCCTGACTGTGACATAAGCTCATTGGCCCTTCAACTGGATGAGCTAATAAGTATCAGCTGGATTAATTGAATTAAAGCAAAGGGTGTGTGTGATTTTGGTGTCACTGTAAAAAACAAAACAAAAAACCCCCCAATAAACAAATATTTCCATAATAACTTTTAATGATATTATAATTCAAGCAATGTTTAAGGCTTTGGCTCACAATGGAGGCCATTTCCACTCGTTAAGTCTAATCAGCCCAAATCAGGTGAGTAATATAAAGTGTTATAAAAAAAAAAAGTAAAAACATAAATACACTAAGTGTGTGGTAGTTCATGGTTCTGTGTGTCTGTGGTTGTCCAGGTAGGGAGCTGACGTATAACGTCAGAAGGCCTGTCAGTTGCCAAATTACAGTTTTTGTATTATTGTATTAGAATTTTTTTTCCTGTTGCAGCTTTAATGGCATAAATTACAGACAACCCAATGGCTTGTTCAACCTTTGACATGATTGCCACTCCAAAGAGTGCAATTGCAGCATAAATAGATGAGTCATCCTCTTCATGTTTTCTGCAGTGGTGAACTTATTGTCCTGTAGAGCCATTGACAGACCTGAATGGCTAAATTATGCTTGCACTTTCTTGCATCAGCTGGAGAGCAGGATAGGAGGAGCCAAACCAGGGAAAAAAAACTATTGTGAAGGAAGTCATGATCTATTCACATAGGATATATCGTTTAAAACACTGCAATGTCACATTTTACTTTGAAAAAACACTGTTAAACAGCTGCTAAAGTGACAATAAAACTTTTATTCATGTACATCATAATACACGAATTGGATCTGTACATAAATATTGCATTTCACCCAGAAAATGATCAAAATACACGTTGAATTAAAAGGAAAACTGACTTCAAAGGATTTCAAAAGAGTGAAAATAAGCTGGTGTTAAGAAGAAGACTGAAAAATCTTTGAATGAATTGTAAAATCCAGAACTACTACAAATCTATAAAAATCTTCCGAGATGCGGTAAAACATATTTTAACACCTGAACTCTTTATAAATGCTATAAAATATTTTGGTTGAAATGCATTCTTAGCTTACCTGTCTTTGCCTGCACACACACACACTGTGCATCAATGATGTCGGTGCAAAAAAACAATACAAACTTTGAATGCGCGTATAAGTCACGTCAACATGCAATAGAAAGACAGATGGTGAGGCCAACAGCAGGCGTGAACAGAGCAGTAATTAACGTTCACTTATTACATTTTTTTCCTCTAAATATCAAAAGTTTTCCAATAGCACCAACTTCATTTTTTTTTACTAAGTTATAAAACAATGGGCTGTAATGGAAGGCTTCTTGAATAGGAGTTCCATTAGGCACTATGCTAAACCCCTTCGAGTTTGTGACATCAGTAACTTAAGTGAAGAGTACATCAAGTACCTTTAACATAATTGCTCTTAAATAAAGCTGCATCAGTAGGCAGTTCCACATACTAATGTGTAATCACACGCATCACTTTGGGAGAATCTGGAGTATCTGTTTTTCATCAGTTCTCCTTTCGACCCAAATTAGCAACAACGTCCCACTGGAGTCGTTCTGTGAAAGTGGAATGCTGTCTAATACAATATCTACACTGACCTGAGTAACTAAAGCACTTGAAAGACAGGCAGCAAGATCATTATCATCTTACCGCCCTATTGTGAGGCAGTACTTGTGAATTAAAGAAAAAAATAGTTCTCACTGACAAATGTGACAGTTAAAAAGTAATTGCCAATGTGAGTTATCCTGGCAGACTGACATACAAACTGGGCCATGTTCTAGCTTTTCATACCACACAATGCTCTCCGTTATCTTCATAAAAGTGATGAAACAACAAAGCTCAACGCAAGATAATGAAGCTTCTGACCTGCTCACACAGCAGTTACTATGACAAGGAGATGATTTAAGAGCATATAAAAGTTTGTAATTGTCAGTCAGGCACTTTGCACAGACACTGCGCTGTGAGGCGGTGACACTTGCGCCTTGTTTTACACTGGTGTGAAATCATTCCATACCTGCAACTGTTGAGTTTATAAAAACAGTTACCTGGCACGGGTATATCATCGCTGGCGTTTATACCTCAGTGCAAATATGCATGTGAGCATATTGTTGAAGTATGTATTAACAGTGCATTTAGGTGTAAACTGTGTGAGCAGCACCTCGTTGTAAAGGCCAGAATGCAGTTTTCAAAGTTTCCAAAGCGAACTTTGGTAGATGATGCTTGGTCAATGTGTTGTAGATATGGATGAAAGGTTTCTCATCAGTACCAAGAAAAGCAACACTTTTTAAGCCTCAACAACACAAAGCAGATGGAAAATATCAGCAGGTACTGAAAAGGCTCTAAGGAACAAAATGTAAGAAGGTGACAAAGCTTTGGAACATGGTGAGACAACAGAATCGTGCAAAAAGGCTTTTACTGTGAAGGGAACTTGGCAGCGTGGCCTTTGGAGAAAGCAGGAGGTGGTTTTTAAAGCACTCTGTTTTGAGGTGGGACGGTGTTTGGTTCTGTGGTTGCCTGAAGAATGTTAGGCCTCATCCTCATCTCGTCTTTAGGATGGCTGGTACTCGACGATGGGAAGCAGCTTGGTGACGTGCCCGATACCTTTGGTTACCCCCTCTCTGAAGAGAATCTTTGCTCCCACCTTCAGATATTCTGGATGCTTGATGAACTTGAAGAGAACCACCGCTTTCTCTCCCGTCCTCAGCTCCTCCTGTTGTACAGTGGTGTAGCACGAGAACAGGAATCAAACAAAGGCAGGATTATTAATGAGATAGGTGATCTGGGCCAAATACAGCAGCAGAGGCTTTAGTGGCACTAAATTAGAAATTAACCTGTGGGCTGTTCTTTTAAATGAAAGATGAGTGTTTCTGTGTATATTTAATTGCACTTTTAAACTTGCAGATTTAATTTTAAAATCAATCAGTGGAATAGTGACACCAAGATTAAGATTAAAGGGCACACACTCAACAAACAAATAAAATAGCTCTGTAGTGCCAATAGAGTCCTTAAAAAAATCCCAGAAAGGATTTGTTATAATTCTGGATTGTATCAAAATTCTTGGTTTCTCTTGTTTTGAATCACTGCTGTATCATTTCAGAGCAGACGCTAAACAGAATAGTTTTTTGGATTCCTGGTTTGAAAGACTGATAATGTGAGAAAACCAAGATACACCTACCCAGAGCCTTTCACATCTTTAAGTACTCTTGTAGCTGGCAATAGATTGCTTGTAGCTAGCAGAAGGAAGTACTTCTGTTGTAAAAGAGAGGAGCAACTGTGCTCACCATGAAAGAAATGGATTATGTTCTACACGACAAATCTGAACACCCATCTGAGGATTTAACTCCATTGGTCACCAGCTATTAAATGGCCTGCATTTGTATAGCGCTTTTCTAGTCCCTAAGGACCCCACACTGTTAATAAACCACGTAGCCTGTGACAAACATGGATTTATTGATGAGTGTGTCTCCTGCCTTGAAAACACCATTTTTTCACTTTCTCTGTGTTAATGAGAGCATTTTAGCTCAGCGGATGGACCAACCTTGCCATACACTGCTTCCACTGTTGCAGTTTGTCTCACATTGCCAATGTGCACAGTAACCTGGAAGCCCTTGTGGAAGGTCTTGGCATGGAAAAGCAGGACAATCTCAGCCTCAAACATCCAGCAGATGGTAGGATCCATCTCTGGGCTCACCATCACCATGCCCTGTAAGTGGAAAACATATGGATGGTGTACATACATAGTTCAGATTTGTATGAAAATAATGATTTCAAATTCCAAGTTTCTTTTACTGCAATTTACATTAACCAATAGATAGATATATTATACTTTTAATGTGATTAACTAATAAAACACTAATTTAGACAAGCTCTGAGTCTGACCTTGCGCAATAATGAGCGGTCAAAGTTGCCCAGAGCAAGTGTAGCAGCCTGGCCCGCCCTGAGCACCCTGCATGCCGAGCGGTTCCTTTGGATGCTGCCTACGGTCAACTGGTGGAACTGACCCGAGTCTGTGGGCCCTACTACAAGATGATCCCCTTCACGGCAAATACCACTGTAAGACCAGAGAGAATAGCGAGTCAGAGGGATTTCTGGGTTAAAAACAAAGAACCCACTTAACCTGTAATGAAACAATAATTTCAACATACTGACCTGTATAGAGTACCTCCAACCACTGTCCCCACCTCTGGAACTGTGTAGATCTCATCCACCTGCAATGATGCACATGGCTGTCATTCAGATCAAAATAATCTGTGTATTTACACTGTGCATTTGGAAGACAGTAGCTCACAGCCAGAAGATCATTTTGCATGGACAGACAAACTTTATTTCATTTTAATGTTGTGGAGTCTGTAACTTACAATATAAAGCGCCTTAAGGCGACAGTTGCTGGAAACTAACGCTCTATAAATAAAATCGAATTGAATTGAACTGAATTGAATTATTTCAGACTGACCTGAAACTCTGTTAGCTGCTGCATTAGTTCCTCCTGCTCCTTGCTGTTGCTCAGAGGAGGGATGATGTTGAAGAAAACTTTAAGCAAATCTAGACTCTCTCCAGAAACACTGGACAAGGTGAAGATTGGCGTGATGCTGAGAGAGAGTTTCAGGACAAAATAAAAATGATTACTTTCCAGTTTTTGTTTACAGTATTTATTATAGAAGGAGTGCAAACTTAACTGCATGTTATTAAATGGAAAACTGCACTTGTGTGTTTCATACCTTGGTGACTGTGCAAACTGCTGTGCTGCTGTGACAGCATCATCTGTACTGCTTACAACCATGGGCACCTTGTTGCAGCCTGGTTGCTTCAAGACACGCTCCAACTGCCGCACTGTGCGCTCAACAGTGGCCCGTGTGCAGAGGTCCACTTTACTGATAACAATGAAGATGGGAACCTTCAGTGCCATGGCAAGGCCAAGATGCTCCCGTGTGGTACCAGCTGGAAAAGAATGAGAAGGAGAGGAAGAAAGAAAGAGGATTTACCTGGGATTTTGCATTGCTTATATCTTGCCTACTACTTGTTCACCAAAAATAGCTTTCACAAGCAAGCAGACAAAGGCAATGTTTATTTAATGTCATGTTTTCAGAAGGGATGAAGTCTTCCTAAACACACGTAAATACTATTGCCTAAGCTAAATCCAACCTATAAACCTCCAACTGTTGACTCGGTAATCCAAATAAGACTTTGCAAGAAATTTAAAAAGATACGCCAATTCAAACAGGGGATTTATTCTTTGTACAAACACAACAGCTGCCCTCTGAGTCTCAAACACCTATTGCTTAGCATAAGAGTGCTTATCTACAAACCCAGACTTAATGCAAATCAAAGACTATATACACGAAGGGTTATATAGCACATACCACAATAAAAGACTTTTATGTCATTAGAGAAACAGTTTGAGGATAGGACTGATTCAAAGTATTCAAACATATACTGTAACTATGTCTCTGATGTTTCCACGAGTGCCAAATAGTAGCTCTTCTAAACAAAGTGACTTCTCATGTTCTCTTAATTTTGGTCTCAAGAAGATTCACATTTCAGAAAAACACAAACTGAGTTTTGAAAAAAAAAATTGAGGTGAGGTGAATGTGTCACAGTGCAGTAAAAAGTAAAGCATAACTAAATGATGCAAAAAGATTACTCGCCCTTTGGCTTCTTAGCTTAAAAGTTACAACCCAAGAGAAGCCCTATGCATTACATGGATCCATTACGCTGTTTCATAATTAAAGCTGTAGTTCTTGGGTTGCAGACGGCATGTCCCTTCCTATCTACATTCTTGACCCCATTTTCCCTGCATGTCCTATTTTAGAACAGACACCCACATAAACACAGTAACAGCTACGCTGCATTAATAAGGGTTATTTAAGTATAAACAAATATACACTTAGGAACTTAATTTATCCATGCCCTTTTTATGAAAAAAATGCATTGTACTTTAATGTGTTTTTAATTATTTTGCTAAAAATCAGAAATAAATGTATTATCCTGTTGTTACAAATTATTTAAATTACCTTTATTTTTACTGAGTGTAGTTATTTGTTTGATGCTGACAGTGTTATTAATTATTTACTCAAAGATAGACAAACCATTGCAGAACAGTGTAAATAAACAAGGAGTACAGATAGGACTTTCTGAAGCATTTAATTATACTCTGACTGTGCCCAATAAACCCTTTAGTATTTTTTAATATTTAATAATCAGTTATGTTTTTGCGTTAGCACTAAAACTAACTGCTTATGAAATTGCAGTATTTCAATTTAATACTGTTTAGAAATAAACAGCCTCGGAAAATAACACAGACTTATTTTGGCATGGAATCAGTCAACTCATATAATCAAAATAAGCTTAAATAGCAGTTCAACCCTGGAAGAAAACACAAATCCCATCAGGGTTGTGTCAGGAAAGGCATCCAACATAAAAACACTGCCAAATCAAACAGGCAGAGCTAACTGCTGTGGCAACCCCTTGTGAATAATAAGAGCAGCTGAAAATATATATATTTTTTTATTGGCTCTGTAATGTCATGGTTTTCATATCGGCCTAAAAGTGAAAGATCTCTTGTTCGCTCCCAGGAAGTGACACAAAGCCCTTTGGGGCTGTGTCGGGAAATCTGGGATAAAATCTACCAAATGAAAAACGCGCAACAACCCCTTGTGAGTAAGGGAGAAGCCAAAAGTACAGCCATGCATTAACAGCAGATGCATATAGCTCATCCAATAACTCCAACCGGATGTGAGCTACAGCACTTAATGACTAACATCTCAAAGGCTCAGGTTTCCTATACAGGCTTTAGTGCCACTTGCGAAACGTAAACAAAACTACAGCTTTCTTAATAATAATATATTACTTTGGTGTATTGCATAGAGGACTGTTTCCAGATGGTCTCTTGCCTTGAGCAAAGGGTTCTTATCTGTGTTCACTGATACACACTGAAATGCTGTGTGTCACAATGGGTGAATAGTCTAAGGGTGTGCCACCTGGTATTGTTGGTGTAAATCCCAAACGGCTTTGTAGTGCAACACTTATTCATATTTATATTTTCAGATCTAACAGCAAACATAATCAAACAGTATGTTTTCAAATATAAAACAGAAAGCTGTTTAGGCTGACCAACGAGTCTCGGAGGCTCAGGTTTCCAAGTAGGTCCTTCCTGGATACAAGCTTCCTGCACTCAATGTCAGCTAATGCTATCATGAAAATGTTGGGGTTGAGCACATTATACAATAACACATTACCTATAAATAGAACAAGATGTGAAACATAATGCTGAAGTAAGGTTTAGTGATTTCATTTTTACAGAAGAATAAAAATACAGGAAGAACTTGGGTAAAGCTGGACTGTGAAGATCCGATTTGCATCACAACAATATGCAAATCAGCATGTTTCTTTTGCCTCTGGAAGAGTGTAGCACCTGATCAACTTATTTGAACTCTCTTCTTATCTTTGGTTATATGGTAAAAACACATGTCAAGCCTTAACCCCACTGAAAAGGCCAAATGCTTGCAAGATTTGAGAAAACCTCTTGTGACTGTCAAGTGCAATGCTGAAATACACACTAGCTTTGCAAGAGCGCAGCACTATCCCCAGTGGGTCAAAGTACTCTGCCCTGAAATTATGATATCTGAGATATTTTGGGACTTACACTGCCAAGCAAAGATGAGGGTTGGTTTATTGCATAACCTCAGCTATCACATGTCAGCAAAGTGCCAAGCCATAACTGTGCACTACAGTGTGGGGGTATGGTGTGCACAAACATGGGTTATCTCTCAACCAGAACAGCAAACTGCATTACTATCTTGCACAACAACAGTTACATTTGAATAGAACTTGGAGAAAATTAAATCGTTCACTTAATACTCACCAATTCCAGTATTCGCACTGACCACAAGCATTGCAAAATCTGGACAGTAACTGGTGAGGCCAAAGATGGTGGTTTTCAGGTACTTGTGGTGACCCGCCAGATCAATGAATGTGATCATTTTAGAGGCACTCTCACAAATCTCCTCTGCTGTCCGAGACTCGCTGTAATTCACAACCTAAAAAAAGAAAACAAACAAACAAACAAAATTAGCTATCAGTTACTAACATTTCATGCAGATGGAGTAGTTTAATATATATCAGAATAGGAATCTGTAGTAAAACATCCAAAATTGTAAAAATTATGATATAATGGATGTATTTACTTTTTGCTACTTATCACAACTGATGTAAAAGTACATAAATAAGGTGTAATATATATTATTTGATAGAGGACGTTTTCTCACCTCTCCTTTGCTGTTAAAGCCAAGAATCTCAAAGCTAATGCTCGAAGTACGTCCAGTCTGAATCTCATGTAGATGTCTGAAAAGGTTGAGCCTCGCTCTTCCCCGTCCATTGTCCAGCTCACCTTGTGTCAAAACACCCAAAAGAGTGGACTTGCCCGAGTCCACATTGCCCAGTACGGCTACTCGTAGGTCTAAGAACTAAGGAGAAAAACACAACACCAAAATGACTTAAAAATGCCCAAGAATTTAAACATCCAGAGATATCCATGTGCAGGTAGCCACACTAACCTGCTGGTCATCTGGCACTTTGCGAATGAGAACTTCAGCAATCTTACGAGGCACATCAGAGTCATAGTCCACCTCTCGCTCTCTTAAAATTGTGATGTCCGCTCCAACTCTGTCACGAAAAACAAACGTAAGTACAGTTCTTTGTGTTTTGGTAGATGAGGTAAACTACAACAGCAGAATAACTATCAGTCAGTAAACGGAATAAAAATACTGGACTTACTTCTCTGCAAGCCGATGGAGCGTTTTTAGTGAAGCCCTCATTTCCTCCTCTGATAGTCCCACCAGCATGCCATTGTCCTCGACACCTATTTGATAGACAGCTTCACCTCGGCCCTCCTGCAGTCGCCATTTCATTTGTGTTGCTAAGTGCTCAAAGCGGTATTGTGTGGGGTTCACTAGCTTGAGCTATTCAAGAAAAGAAATTACTAATTAGTACTCAACACTATTTTGGACATAAACAAATGATTACTGTAGGACCAAGGCAATAAAAAAGCTCTATATTGACAAGAAGCGGCTGTCCTGATACTACAAATGCTCTAGTTCAGGGGTGCCCAATCCCGGTCCTCGAGAGCTACCGTCCTGCAGCTTTTAGATGCATCCTTGTTCCCACACACCCGAATCAAATGAATGGCTTGTTATCAGGCCTTTGCCAAACATGATGGCATGCTGAAGAGGTAATCAAACCATTTGATTCAGCTGTGTTGGAGTAGGGATGCATCTAAAAGCTGCAGGATAGTAGCTCTCGAGGACTGGGATTGGGCAGCCCTGCTCTAGTTAATCCACAGTGGTGTTATATTTCAATGGAAAGACTGCCCCTATATATTCACACATACTGCATACTGATAAATTTCCAATAACATCCACATCACAAGAATTGATCCATATATAAATCAGTTTTATGGTGTTATGTAAAGCATTTTAGCTCTATGAACAAAACAAAGACTTTGCGTCACAGTAATTTGCTTACCTTGTACTCTATATTTCCCTCTTCAGCCTAAGAGACAGGGAGTAAAACAAAGAGAGACAGAAAAGAAACAACAGCTGTAAAACTGTAAGGAAGACAACAGACTATTGATTTGTTTACAGAGAAAAAGAAAAGCAGTTTGACTGAATGTGCAGTCAGTGTTCTCTATGAATAGGCAGTCACTGAGAGCTATACAAACAGGCTAACCGCTTCCTTAGCCTTACACAGCGACTTAATATGTTATTACACATTACATACACATGCTTAAAAGTCAAAATCAATACATTTAAGGTAAACCAAGTCGCGAAAATATCTGTCATGTAATCACTTATGACAGGGGACCTAGTTATATTCAGTGATCAGCTGACAGCAATTTTAAAGGTTAAAGAACAGTTTAGGATTAAGTGTCACGTTTAAAAAACGCAGCTGGTGGGTAATGACAACACACGGAGGTCACTGTACAATAAATAAATAAATAAATAAATACATGTAAAAAAAAAAAAAGTTTTGTGTAGTAACACAGTCCTTGGCTGAGTGAATGTCAGACACTCACAGTATCACTATCTAGAGGTCGGCTGGCTGAGCTATGCACCCGCCCCCTATTTACAAACACAGCTGATCTTCTTTTGCTAGCTAGCAAAATACTTGCATTTTTTTAATCAAAAAAACTTTCAATTAACACACGTTAGGCCTATTTCTGCAAAACTACTGTAAATAGAAAGTCGTAAGCCAACAGCAAACGCAAAACCTCTACGCTTGAAATGGTACCATTCATTTTCTTTGTACCGACTAGCTACGTGTCACTGCAGGTTCAAAGACAAGTCAATAGTGGGGAAGCTAACCCTCAAAACAGGAAATACAATGACAAACCTACGAGTAGCGTTACAACAGACAAAAATCCATTTGCTTACTCTTAGTGACAGGCTTTCCAGTGCCCGGGAAATATTAGCTCGAAATAGCTAATTGTGTGCGTATTTTTAGCCTTACCTCTGGAGGTAGATACGGGGTGTTATTGCTTGGTTTGAAGTTGCGGGATAATCGAGCTTTTGCTTTCTTGTTCTTTGCAGAGGATTTTTTGGGGGCTACCCCATAGCCATTCGCAGGCTTGCCGCTGGACACACCACCAGATCCAGAGCTGTGTCCGTTTCCTGAGCCAAATAACTCCGATACCCGCGCATCCATCGGCTACTTTGGGACCTAACTTGTTAGCTTACAACTACTTAGACAGATTCTGACGCTATATAAATAATATATACCTCGGGCCAGGCATTGGGGTGCTTGTAATTACCCCGATAATGGCAGTGTGCAGCCCCCAAAATAAAAAAATAAAGCAATACCCTCCCCCCAAACTCCGCGAACTGAACAATAACAGCACCGGCCGAGACTACGGCTTTGAGTTTACAGTATGCTTACGTCACAGCCAAATGCCAATGGTGCGTTTGTTTTAAATAACTGCGTAGCGTGAGGGAGAGGTTCATTTTGTTTTCCTATTTACTCACATTGCATGTCAGTTTAAACCCCACCCGCCTACATCTAGATGTAAACACACTCGGTTTTCAGTGGTTTGCATCAGATGAAGGAAATAAGTGCGTAATGTCCAGTTTGTTTACAAAGTTGATGACATCTAAAATATGTCACCAGTTTAATTATAAGGAATGTGACCTGCATGCCAACGCCCTTGAGGCTTTATTACCTCGGGTTTTGTATATGTATGGTATTTCTGGGAAGATTCAACTTTATTATTTCAGCTGCTAAGAAAGACGTTATAATTACTAACAATTATCATCTAGCCAGGTAAACTGAAAGTGGTTTGTTGAATTGATACCCAGCAAGCAGCGAAAAGAAACTGAGGGAATTGTAAAATGGTGTGATTTCTTGACCATAAGTTAGACAAGATGTGTTGAAAATACAGGTCTTATATATAAAATCTTCGGGATCCCGAGAACACAGTGGGTGAAAGGACAACATTGAACTTTTCAAATAGATTACTATTTGAAAAATTAAACTTGATTGGGCGTTGTTATATTTGCAATCGAACTATATTTCAACCAGAACCTCATGACCGTCAAGCACATTTACCTTCAACGTTGTAAGGTATTTACATTTAGGTATTTATTTAGGTATTTACATATTAAATTTGTGATTTTGTCATCTTGTACCGCTAAGATTATGGGATTTATTTCTTTACACGTCACGTCATATACGCAAGGTTTTTCAATTCAAGTCTGGATATAAGATGTTTCACAGACAGTTAAAATCAATGCAAAATCCGGTACCCAATTTTACACAATATTAAGTAATTTTGTTTGACCTATATTTTTTTCAGCCGCTTTAGCGACACCCAAAGGAAGTGATGTGTAAGATAAACATTTTACAAACTCGATATGAATCACAATGCTGTGCAAAAGTCTTGTCACCCTTTGTTTCTTTATATTTTGCTAGTAAAGTGGGAACTAGGTGCAGGCTTTTATTGAAATGTGTGCAAACATAAATGCAAACAGAGTTGCAGTAACATTTACAGTTTTTCTCAAATGTTAAAACACAAAAGCCAATCCTGTAACCCAAATGACCAGTAGTCTAAACACATTTACTAAATGTAGCCACCATATTCCAGTACCATAAACACATGTCACATGAAGACACAATTCACAAAACACAACCCTCTGTACTCATAAATCTAAACACATTTTTCCTTGCTAAAACACATGTTGCAAAACAACTCTGCTCATATTCTCAAATGAAAGCCCATGTGATGCAAAATGCTTGCCACAGTCACCAATCTTTGAACACAGGGAACACACCTGGCGTCATTCACTACACACAATGACTCAAAATTGAAGACACTTGTTGCTAATGCTGTACCCACATGTAAAAGCAAGTTCAGAGTGCACAGTATGCTGAAGATTCCAAACAAACACAATGGATGAAGGCAGAGTCAGGGGAAGAGGAATTTGATGCAGAGGAGGGAGAAGAGCTGGCCCTGGAAGAAGAGGAGCAGGCCAATGAGGAAGAGGAGTTCAAATGAGAGGAGGAAGAGGAGGAGGCCAACATGGGAGAGGAGAAGGTCCAGGAGGGAGAGCAAGACAACCTCGCACCATCATTACGGACGAGATGCGAGCAACAGCTCAGCGACATGATGCCGCACAGTGATTGTGGTGTGTGTGTGGTGTGAATAACGTAAATAAAAAAACTTCACACCCTGTTCATGTTTTCAAGATTACTGTTGTGTGCAATAGATTCTGTTTTTGCATTGAGTTGTGTTACAGTAGTGTACGTACATGCAGGATTTTCTATAGATTTATACTACTCATATGAAACTCACAAATCTAAATGCCTAATCCTCTGCAGAGATCTACGACGATCCGTTACTGTATAGTTTCTAAAATATGCATTGGCAGTTATGAAACAAAGAACCTTCTCACAAATTGAGCATTGTGTTTTCAATTGTTTTGCTGTAGTGTGTAATGCTGTGTATAGTGTTTACAGTTTTGACAGCTTCGAGCTGCTCTCTTGGTGTGGGAGTTTGAGTTTTGCAGTGGGAAGGTGTGGTTGTGTTTATGTAGCTTTAGAGAAGGGTGTTGTGTTTGGACATTGGGGGACCTGGTGGTAACGTTTGTGACATGTGTTTTAGCATTTGAGAAAAACTGTATAAGTCTAACTAGCTTGAAAGTCAATATTTGTATGGCTGCTTTATTCTTCAGCATGATGATGAGCTCTGTCTTAGGAAGGTTTCTTGCAGTTTCTTTAAGTAGTCTTCTGGATTAGTTCCCCAGGAGATTATAAGCTCTTCTTTTGGTTGTTGGCTGCCTTTCATTCTCTTCGCTATCAAAATGATCCCACACTGCTTCAGTAGGTCAATCCATGACTGATAGTGCGTGTGTGTGTTTGTATCCAGGCATTTTCAGTGTGTTTTGGATCGTTGCCAAAATTAAGCAATTGCAAATCCCACACTACAGAAATGGCATTGCATGGTGGATCTGATGGTACTTTTCTACAATCATACTTGCAACAATTTTAAGAAAACACTAACACAACTGCTGCTGTGTTTCACAGAGGGCTGTAGGCACTCACTGTTGTATGTCTAACCTGACCTCCCTTTTACATATTGATGAAAATCTTGTGTAATATGGCATACTTCAGCGTTTTCTAACTGTTTCCCTTTCTTAAGCATGCAAGCATGCAGCCACACTTCCACTGAGATAATTGATGATTAAGCTTCAGTGAACAGTAGATGGATCAACTGAAGGCCCAGATATACCTCTAAGCTCCCGTGTCAAGTCTCTGGTGGATCTTTTTCTGTTTATTAAGAGCATGATTTTCATTTGCTATAGACAGGTTTGTAGGCTGCTTCTTGTTTTGTCCCCCAATTTCAAATGTTTTAATGGACACACTGCACACTTTGCCGAGATACAGCAAGATTTTAGCTAATAGCGCCTTTGGAATTGCCTTATTGGTGCAAAAATACTATTTTATACCTGTCAAACTGTGTTATCTTGTGCATTATTCTGGAATTCAGTTAAAGACATGGGAACAATTGATGTGTTTTGGCAACAGGCAGCTAAAAAGATACAATTTAAAATAGATTATTTGCGAAGTTGTCTGTTATGTGTAGACTCAACACTGGTTGATTCTATGAGTTAAGTAAACATGTTTTGCTTCAGTGATTCATAGGTCGGTCAGTGAAAGTAGTCAGGTGCAAAGAGTGGACAGAAAATGAGTCAGCAGCCAGTGTTCAAAGAAAACCTTTGAAAGGCCTACAAAGAAAACTAAAGAACTAGTCCTCAAGACAACTTAAAAAATTACAACAAAGTCTGGCTTCTTGGAAGCAAAAGTTAAAGGGATGAGTGGTAGCATAAGACTTTTGAACAGTACTTTATTTGCATATTTATTGAAGATGGTTTATGGTTAAATCGATTTGATAAATCTTAAAGCTGGTTGACTGTAAAGAAATAGCATTTAAAGGCCTTTACTGCTTACGAATGTGTTTTTTTATAGAGTGTAACACTTACAGTTTACAGCAAACTTTCTTTCTGCAAAGAGGCTGAGAATTGAGAAAAGTCAGCCAACTCCCCTGATGGAAATGAATACTTACAGAGTTTGGAATTTCTGAGACTCGACACTGATTGGGTAGTCGATGTGTGATGAAGGGGCTCAGCCCATTCTGTCCTGGCTGAGAGAAGTGTTTGTGATTTTTATAGTCTTAAGTTCCATCAAACATCTGCATTCACATGCGGACGTACACACACTCACAACAGTCGCTTGTTCTTGGTCTTTTGGCGAGGATGGGTTATCCACTGGTGATTCTGTTGTGTGTGGGACTGCTCCACCAGACCACGAGGGCTGTCCACATGGATAAACTAGCAGACCAGAAGATTTGCGGGGATGCAGAGTGCTCATGTAAGTCTGAGCATTAAAAACAGAAGCATAGCAGAGCATGCAGGATGCAGCACGTTTCAAAATCAACAGTAGATGCTTATGTTTCGCATTCTTCTTTTGTATTTTTCCTGTGCTGTATTAGATGTTCTCTCCATGGCCACAGTCTTGGATGACTTCATATCTCCTGACTGCCGATTTCTCAACCTCAGAAAGGGTCAGGTGGTTTATGTGTACTCCAAACTCATTGCAGCAGAGGGCGCTGGAGTCTTCTGGTCTGGAAGCGTATGTGCAGATTTTGTACACTGTTTAATGGCACTGTACACTTGAGTTGTGAAAGACAGAAGATGTGCAACAGCTGTGGTAAACAAACACAAACCTTCTGGCTTTTCTGACAAGAAAAGACATTTGGTTGCATATCAGAGTCCACCGTATCTGAAACGAGCAGGCTTTTCATTATGTCAAGTTTTGTAAGAAAGGTTATGCATAATACATATAGAGTGTGGTGCATGCTAATTTGCTGGAGTTATATTATTTTTGCTGGCAGATTTACAGTGAGCGGTACGTGGACCAGATGGGCATCATTGGATACTTCCCTGCAACTGTGGTGAAGGAGACACAGAGGTTTACAGAAAACACAGTTAAGATCCAAACAACTGTTAGTACATTGAATTCTTTTATGCAACATTTTTTTTAAATGAATGAATACTTTTTTCCCCATTCCATGTTAGGAAGTAGAGCCTGATGTTTTGCTTGTCTTTCAGGACATGGACTTCTACTGCGATTAAGGGGCTGAAACCTCTTCCTTGTCAACTCTTTCTGTTAGTAACTCTGGCATTTATAAAGGACAAAGTATGCAGACATTAACTCAATGAGTCTTTTTGTCTATATTATTCCAACATTTTGATTATATAAATATATAAAAGTTAAAGAAATGAATTTTCCAGACACCTTTTTTATGATTTTTCTTGACTAGTAATTGCAATTATATTGTACTTGTCTTTGTTACACATCTAGAAACTGGCTTGGAGCTGCTTATGCTGAGAAATAGCTGCTGTGAAAATGATTAAATTCATTTTCTAAAGCTTACAGTCTTTTTTTTATTGGAGTCAAGGTTTCTTGGTAGTGTTATCAGAGACATCCTATAAAATCCTGACTTTTCATTCATTCTACTATGTTCTACTCCACTATGTTCTCAAAAGAAATGTCATCTAATAGAATTAATTTAAAAAAAAAAGTAATTTAAAAAAAAGTATCATGACTGGTGTGAAGAGCTCAGGACAGAAGGCCTAAATTCAGATTCTATTTTACATTTTTATTCATCCTATAGAGAAAAAATGTAAGTATCCAAAGGTGTTATATGTGACAAAAATACATAAAACACTATTTAAAGTATTTTTTTGTTGTTGTTTTTGTCAGGGTATTCTTATTTTACCAGCATTTGAGACAACATGACAGCATGTTTTGATGGAGCAGCAGAAACACAGTGGTAATTTTCAAATAAATGAATGCATTTTCTAAAAATGCACCTGCTTTACTAAAAGCTCTGTTAGATGTTTCATGGTGATTTGAAAAATACCCAGGTCAGACATCCTTAAAAGCTCACAAAGGCTGCTTATTGCCCTTTCACATTTTATGACTGTTGTCGCTTTTCCAAAAAAAAAAAAAAAAAGAAGAATAGTGCCACGTTTTTTTATACAAAATAAAAATGCTAAAATGCCCAAATGTTACGATGTATGAAATGAGTGCACGTTGTCTTCCAGTCTGTCTCTCTGCCTGCACTCACCCACCCTCCCACACGCCCACGCAGTTTCTAAAGATCTGTCATGATTAAACATGGCCTGGCATATTGTCGCTGTTAAGACTCTTTCCAAAGGATGATTTAAATCTCCTTTTGATTGGTTTTGAATCATCAGTCTTTTTTTTTATTTCTGCGTCACAGTACCCACCCAGATAAAGTACTGAATATAACATCTCAATCAAATCTTTCTTTGACGTTTCCAACTGTGGATTATCAAAGTTAGACATTTCATTTTGATAAAAGAAGACTCTATGATTTAATTCATCCATTGCAGAGCTGCCATTTAGTGTCTCTGCCATCTCAAGAAGTCTCTCACATCACTACTGAATGCACAGATTTTTTGATACTACTGCAAAATTGTGCATTTTCATCTTGTTTATTTCTGTTTGACTGGAGGCATTCTTTAGTAAGCTTTACAAGTTTAGGAAATAGGGCTGTCACATACATAATCGATTTAACCCATCACCTGCTCAGCCCAGATCAATATTAACCTGCTTTAAATGTGCCACCAGTGAATGTCACTCAGAAAAAAACATGCTTGGGGCAAGGGTCTGATAGAGCAAGAGAAGAGAAGAGAAGAGAAGAGAAGAGTGAAACACTTCCTGAAGGAAAACAACATTTGTTTTAATACGTGTTCATATTTGAATGAAATTCTAATCATTGCACAGCATCCACAGAGGAAGTGGATGATGAATTCTGTGATTGTTATTAACAATTGACCTAAAGAGGAGAAAAACTCTGCCTTTTTTCAGCTGATTGCCAATTGAAGTTGCGAGAGTATTTGTGTAAGCCTATGCAAAACCACAAAATCCACAAATCACGGCAAGTTCAGTCAGTCTTCTGTCAGACAGCTGTAGCTTTAGGGTGTCACCATGGTGACAGGCAGTGAAACTGTGACAGAAGAGATTGATGTATGTGCATGTTTGTGTGTTTCTTCTGTGTGAGCTAAAGGAGCAGCTGGCAAACGCAAGAAACACTTTTTTCCTCCTTCCACCTTGTATCCCACCCACACCTCTGCGGTCAGCGGCATAGTGCCCCGTGGAGCTTGGAAATCAACAACCTCGGGGCTGGCTGCCAGCGAAGTGTGACATTTAAGACGTGATATGCATCTTCCTTTAGAATTTTCCAAAGTTGCCATGGCCAAAAAATGCTTTGCTTGCCTATGTGATCCAATTGGTGGCGATACATTTAAAAAACAAAAACAAAGAAATAATAAGAAAGAAAGAAAAAGATAAAAATAGTATATACCGTTCCACGCCTTTGAAACAGGAGTCGTGAGTTCGACTCCCAACCAGGGCGTTTGTATCCAGTAAGGGTCCCCGAGCTAGACCCCCCATGCTAACCAAGCCTACCTCGGATATGAGCTAAGTGGAAGGAAAGATGCTGGGGGGCTAGTGAGTATCAGTACCAACCGGAAATAGTAGTAGTGGAAAAGCAAAGGAAAACGGCTGTAGTGATAGATGTAGTGATACCTAATGACTGCAACATCAGGAAGAAGGAACAGGAGAAGGTGGAGAAGTACCAAGGGCTCAGAAAAGAGCTCGAGTGGTCCCAGTGGTAATCAGAGCACTCGGTGCAGTAGGCGAGTGGCTCCAGCAGATCCCAGGAATAGCAGCCAAGATCTCTGTTCAGAAGAGTGCAGTTCTAGGAACAGCAAAGATACCGCACAGGACCCTCAAGCTCCTAGACCTCTGGTAGAGGACCCAAGCTTGAAGGACAACAGGGACAAGAGGATTTTTTTTAAAAATAAATGTATATCTAAAATATAAATATATATATTTTAGATTATATTTTTAGATTATATAAATATAATCTAAAAAAACTGCATAATTGACATCAAATGAAAACTAATGAAAAGTAAGAGGAGAGGAGAAGAACAGCTGAAGCAAATACCTGCTGTGCAGTCCTCGTACACAGGATGACCCATCCTCACTTTTTCTAATGGAAACAGCTCAATTTGCTTCAACTGTTGCTTTTATATATTTTTTCCAGTGGAAAAAGGGTTATTTCTTGCTCAGGAAAAGGATAGAGAGAACACCAATTTCCCGAACACTAAAGCCATGGTACTCAGTGTGCCCAGTAGTAACATTATATACAGCCCTCAAGTATGTATGACATTTAATGTCATACAGAAGTACAGAAAGAGACCAATCAACATCTATCTTTAGTTTAAACTTTTTTACCCATAATAGCATGCCAAACCATTCTAACAATGACAAACACAGCCAGTGTTAGGGAGCAATCTCTGCAATGGTTACACACACACACACACACACACACACACACACACACACACACACACACACACAC